AAAGGGAAAGGCAAAGGCGGCGCCAGGGGGACCCCCGCTGCCGCAGGTGCGGCAGGTGTGGGCAGCACCCGCCTCCTGCTGCCTGCGCTGCTGCCTGCTCCGCCGCCCGCCTCGATGGGGTGAGCACAGCCAGCGGCCCGGGATGCCGGGGGATGCTCGGGCTGCCCTCGGCGTGCACCCCTCCAAGGGAGCCCGGCGGGGGGATGCTGCTGCCGCCGCATCGAGCGGCAGAGAGGTGCTGGCAAGTGCGGGGAAGCCTGGGCATGACGCAGTCCAGCACCGCACCGAAAGCTGTGGGAGACCCCCAGGCACGCAGCCCCATGCGGGGCTCGGGGTGGCGGGGAGGGTTTTGGTGCCTCCTGAGCGGTGGCAGTTCGTGCCTCAGTTTCCCCACAGGAAGCACAGCGCAACGGCAGTGGCAGGAAGGGGGCAAAAGCAGCAGCCGGGTGCAGGCACTCCTCAGTGCGGGCTGTGCGCACTATCATTATGTGTGTATTATCCTCGGGGACCAGACTCGCTACAAAAGCCGGAAAAAGGGTGAAAGCAGAAGCAGTTCCCCCCAGCATTTTCCAAGTGGGACGTAGGGTGGTGCAGGGAGGCTGCCGGAGATGAGTGGGGCTGCCACCCCTGCCAGCCACTGCAGAGGTGGCCGGGGCTTCCTCCCTGTTTAGCCTGGAAACGCAAATACCATATATTGACATCCCTCCCCTGACAGCTGGAATGGTGCCCTCGTGCCCCAATTCAGCAAAACCCGTCCTTCCCCTGAGGTAACCTCCTGCGACGTGAAGCCATCATCGCCGTGCTTTTAGTTTTATGCATTTATCGAGCATTAAATATAGAAAATTAGGACAATACCTGTGTCTAAAAACCAAATACAAAGTAAGGCAGCAACAGGCATAAATGCAGTTTGCAGTGCCTCACATGGTGGCCATAGAAGAACACTGCTCCAGAAGGACCTGATTTTTAATGTTCATATTTGTAAATAAACTGCTGACTTCAAGGAATCCAAGGAAATGAGAAAAGTTCTTGCACAAGGCTGTGCAAAGATACACCTATGGGTGGGCAAGCCAGCATGGATGTGCTGTGCCGAGTTGTGGAGGTGGGCCGGACCTCTGGACATCGTCCAGTCCAACCCCTGCTCAAGCAGGGTCAGCCTGCGCAGGTTGCCCAGGACATTGTCCCGTTCTGAGTATCTCCAAGGATGGTGACTCCACAGCCTCTCTGGGCAACCTGTTCCAGTGTTTGACCACCCTCATAGTAAAAAAGTGTTTTCTTGCAGTCAGATGGACTTTCACATGTTTCAGGTTGTGCCCGTTGTCTGCTGTCCTGTCAGTAGGCACCACCAAGAGCCCCTGAACCTTCTCCAGGCTGAACAGCCCCAGCTCTCTCAGCCTTTCCTCATAGGAGAGATGCTCTAGACCCTTCACCATCTCCGTGGCCCTTCGTTGGACTCTCTCCAGTATGTCCATGTCTCTCTCGCACTGGGGAGCCCAGAACTGGACCCAGCACTCCAGGGGCAGCCTCTCCAGTGCTGAGTACAGGGGAAGGATCACCTCCCTCGACCTGCTGGAGACACTTCTCCTAATGCAGCCCCAGACACCATGCAATGCATCCTCTTTGCTGGCAGGTTGCTGGCTCATGTTCAACCTGGTGCCCACCAGGCCCCCTGGGGCCTTTTCTGAAAACCTGCTTTCCAGCTGGATGATCCCCAGCACGTCCTGGGACCTGGAGTTGTTCCTCCCCAGGTGCAGGACTTTGCACTTCCCCTTGTTGAACTTCATGAGGTTCCCATCAGCCCATTTCTCCAGCCTGTTGAGGTCCCTCTGGATGGCAGGACGACCCTCTGGTGTGTCACCCACTGCTCCCAGTTTGGTGTCTGGTACACTGCTGGTACACTCTGCCTCATCATCCAGATCATTAATGAAGAGGTTAAACAGGACCGGTTGTTGACCTGCAGGATCTGTTCAGCCTTCCTTGAGCCCTTCCTCCACCCCAGCAGCATCTTGGAGGGCTCAGGTCTTTCCTGGAAAACCACAGTGCAGGTGAAGAGGAGCAGAGACTGGGAGCAGCATGGCTTGGGCAGTGGCTAGCTCAGCTTTGGCCAAACCAGATGGAGACAGAGCTGGGAGAAGAGCCAGGACAGCAAAACACAGTGCTCAAGCCCAATGGCACGGTGGACACTGGGCTTCCCTCCGCAGCAAGTCACCAGCGTCACTGCCAGACCAGGCTCCTGTGCCAGCCTCCCCTGCTGCAGCAGGGTGTGCGAGGTCTGTAGTTAAAAGGCTGAGCCCCGGCCAGGGCTCAGGTCCTCTATCTGTGCTCTCAGTGAACAGGACAAGAGCACTGTCTTTCCTTTCTCTCCCAGTAAACAAATGTACAGATTTAAAAGAATAATTTTTATTCAATGTAACAACTATGAAATAAAAGCCCAAGCCAGCACAAATAACTTCACGTACATTGCCCAAGCAAGGCACAGCTCAGCTGGAATAGACAGCACCTTAGCAGAAAATGCCAACAGATGTGAAAATAAATGTGGCCCCTGGTGAGAAGGGGAGGGAGCGGGGGTCCCGGTGCTGCCTTGAGCTGGAGCCCGGCCAGTCGACGGGACAGGCACCGCAGGGCGTCTCCTTCAGACCAAGATATGAGCCAGGCTGGGGTGTTTCAGCACCCAGGTTGGGATCTCCAGCAGCTGCCAGCAGTGCTGGAGCAGGGTCCCCAGCACCCAGACAGCGACACACAGCACCGAGATAGTGATGTCCGGTGCCTGCTGTGCCAGAACAGCCCCATCTGCAGCCTGTGCTCCCAGAGTGGGGCTGGAAGACTGCCCCACATGAGGCTGGCCCCAGCCAAGGACAGTGTTGGGGACACTCTCCAGTCACCCGTCAGGTCCGAGAGGAGCATCACATCCCTGCGGGGCCCAGCTCCTTTGGCTCCTCTTCTCTGTCGCTGCAGCTTTTATCTCCAGGTGTCATTTCTGGTTGAAGAAGTAAAGCGAAACCTCATCTCTTTGCGCAGGCGAAAGGAGACCTCAAGGCACCAAAGGAAAAGCGAAAGCCGAGCAGGGAAGCCGGGGCCACCAGCACAGCGCCCGCAGCACTTAGGGCGGCCACGATGAAGCCTTGGAAGATCTCATGGGTGCTTTGCTCAGATGTTCGTGCCTTACTTGCCACCAGCCATAGCCGAGCCTGTCGGTGCCTGGCTGAGCAGCAGCAAGGGCTTTTCCCTGACGGGACATGGTCTTGCCATCCTGCGAATCAGCATGCTAGCAAGCGTCTTGCACAGCGATGCCATGCTCCACCCTATCCCAGTCCCCAGCCAGACCAGGAAAACCTGGCTGCGTTCAGCACGGCTCCTCCTAACTGGGCTAGTGCCGGCTTCCTGCCACGACAGCGGAGGGTCCCCCAAAGCCGGCGTGGGCTGGGGATGCCACGCCAGCAGGGTCTGCAGGGCGCTGGGGATCCATGGCAGTCATCGCTCCAGCCCCAGTGGGTCCCAGCCCCAACTGCAGACAGTACCACGCCGGGAATGCGGTACAGGCGGAGCCCCCTCCTCGGATCCATGCGGGCCAGTGAGCTGGAGCCACTCACACTTGCTTAGAGCAAGAAATCCCAGGTGTGCAGGAGGTCCCACGTGCGAGAAGGAAAGCGAAAATGGGCAGGGCTGCGGGCAGGGTTGGCACGGGGTGAGGCAATCACCCCATGACTCATCAGCTACTGCATGGCAGGAGCGTGGAAAAGCCTTGGCCACAAGCCATGCCGCTGGAGCGGGTGGCAAGGAGGAGCCCAGATCACTCCTTCCTGACCCCTTTTGGAGCCAGTTGGCTTGTTGGGGAGGAACCAGCTCATGCTCAAGTCACTGGTCTTAGAAAAGAAACGGGGGGAAAAAAAGAAAAGAAAAAAAAACCCAACAAAAGTGTGCCCCAAAAAGCCAGCTTTAAAGGAAAACAAAAGAAAATCAAACGTACACCAGCCTGGGTAATGTGCAGGAGCCCTGCCCATAGCCCAGTGGCAGCAGGGCAGGGGACATCAGGTGGCCTCTGCTAGGCAGCCATCACTGGACCCATCCCCACCAGCCTGGGGTGTCAGTGCCACCAAAGTGCTGCCAGCCCCACTACGCACCCCATAACCCTTCATTGCCTCTCAGCACATGCGATCCACAGCAGCCGTCGCAGCATCGGACTGGTTTGCGCCACTCCGCTTGCCTCACACTGCCAACACCGTGCCTAAGCCTGTTGGTGATGCAATCCCTGGTGTTAGATCGTGGCCAGTCACCCACTGCATCATCCTGGGGGATGTGCCAAGTGCCCTGCAGATGCTGGGGAGGGAAGGTCTGTTAATTGCAAAGTTCATTCATGAACAGATTTAAACAGACTGTTTTAAATTTAAAGCAAGTAAAAAACCCCAAACAAGCACTTTTTTCCCCCAGAGCCTTTGTGCCAGCACTGTAGGGGCACACGGGGACATCTCCCCGCCCAGGCAGGGCTGCAGGGATGCACCTCCCCAGGACAAGCCCTGCCAGCCCAGCTGGGGCTTCCCCAGCCAAGGCAGCCCTACCAGCCACCTGCCTCCCAGTAGCTATGTTGTCCAGTGCAGTCCTGGGC